TCATTTTTGGCTAGAAAAAGTACAGTTGAACCGTCTTTGTTGTAAGCCAGATGTATGAAAAGATAATGTGCAACTGACTTGCTCAATGACCATCCTTTGGCTAACGCTTTGAGGATAATTATTCACTGGAACTGCCCCTGCAAGCCAAGAGCCCCAAATATATGTAGCCTTGCACGGCCCATTGCCATTTTCAATGTCAATAATCAAGACACAGACCAATGGAGAATGACTGTCAACATGAATTCTAAAGCGTGTGTGTGTGTGTGTGTGTGTGTGTGTAGGATAGGCACTCCTTTCTCCAAAGTTAGGATTTGGGGGTAGAAGATTCTAATACAGGTAAGAGAGATTCAGAGTGTGCAAGTTAAGTTTATTCTCTCCTAGAAATGAAACAAAAGCAGTGGTGCATAGCAGATTTATTCACTGAACAGGTTGATTCAACAGAGACGCAGCACGTCAGACCCTACTCATGTGCTTACATAATTGTTGACTATTTAACCAGTCTGTTCTTTTGTCAAATATTTGTTTTTAAAAAGCAGTGCGCTGATGATTGCCATTTTCTGCATTGGCCCATATATTCAGTCCCACTATATTCCAGTCAGCTCAAAGTCAAAACTGGATCTTCTCTGGATTTTGTTACTGATAAATAACATAAGATGAGCCCTGCTGGATCTGGCCAGGGGCCCATCTGATCCAGCATCCTGTTCTTATAGTGACCAACCAGATGCCTGTGGGAAGTCCACAAGATCCCCCCTTCCCAAACTCCAATACATTTATTGTGTGAAGAAAATGCCAATTCCACGCCATACATTTAAAGCATTATGATACCACTTTACAGAGTCATGGCTTCCTACAAAGAATCCTGGGAGCTGTAGTTTGCTAAAGATTGAGCATGGCGTAGCTCCCATGCAGCTACCCCCCCAATCAAGTAAATATATAAAAAATACTTAACTAACTGACCAATCACGTCACAGATAGCTCAATTCTCCCCCCCCCCCACCAACATAAATCCTGGCTACGCCCATGGTGCTGAGAGACGTTAGGAGACCCATTCCCCTCAAAAAGGTACATTTCCCACAATCCCTGTGAAGAGGGGTTGATTGTTAAAGCACTCTGAAAACTACCTCTAGGAACCTAAGAACAAGTTTCTTCTAATAAAGCATTACCTGGACACCACAGTCAGGCCTTTGCCAACCGGGGCCCTCCAAATGTTTTGGACTCCCATCAGCACCTGCCAGCACAGTGGCTTGTACTGTTTGTAGTCCAAACCACATGGGGGAAACACCAGGTTCAGAAAGGCTACCTTTTAGGCAATGATAACTCGTCGGAACACAATCCATTGAATGGTTTCAGAACCTTTTGATGGAAAACAAACAGAAGTCACTCCCTCGATAGGATAAGTATTTTACATGCATCACATACTCCAAGCCCACTGAAAAGAGTAAGCTACAAAACATAAAATACCACCTGCCCCCCACCAAATATGTATAGTTCACTTACTAGCAATCAGGCTGGCACACACAAACACACACACAGTTGGCTAGGTGACTACTACAAGGCAACACTGAAGTTCTGTCAATAGGTGCCTAAATAACATAGGAAGTTGCCTTTTACCAAGTCATCTCCCTTGGTCCATCTTGCTCAGTACTGTCCACCCTGACTGGCAGCAGCTATCCGTGGTTTCAGGCAGAAGCCATTCTCAACTGTGCCTAGAGATGCCAGGGCTTGAACATGGCACCTTCTGCAGGCAGAGCGGATGCTCTGCCACCAAAGCAAGGGTTTTTGTAGTTAGGAAGGGAACGTGGCCATGGAGAAAAGCTAGCAGGGCACTGGGGAAAGGGGTAGAAAAAGCTATAAAAAGAAAAGTGAAACATGACCACAGAACGAGTCCCCCCCCCCCCAAAAAAATATCACACACATATCTTCTGGCTCTCCGCACAGTTCTTCAATTAATGTGAACATACAGAATTCGCTGGGAGCAGAAAGAAATATCTTCAGTAGGAACTACATTTATCTAGGTGGCACTTAAGACAATGTCTGTGAACCCTTTACTGCATCATTAACCTTCTGCAGAGCTGCTCTGACATGCTGTTATCATATCACCTGCAATTAGTACTGTATAGTTAATAAAACAACCACCACCAAAAGTCCATGATCAATATTCACACAGGTGAAATGCACTTTGCAAGCCAAAGCCCTCTTCTTGTGTGGCACATGTGCACAAGCAGTCAATAAATTTAGGCATCAAACTAAAGAACGTGAAGGATAAAAGCCCAATTTCCAATTTCTCACTGGACAGATGGTTAATTGTATTCATAGCTGCGTTTCTCACATGGGAAGAGTTTCAGATAGTCAACCAGCATTGTCCAATTACCCTGTTTAATATGGGAAGTGACAATAAACTTTAATGTTTTTAGGGTCTTCTGGCCATTCCTTGGTCACTACACCCCCCCCCATAAAGTAATTCTCTCCCTCATTAAAACCTTATCTGCAGTAAACAAGAAGCACAGAGTCATGTGCTGGCCAGTGTGTAAAAAGAATAAGATGGCAAGGAAGGATCACTTAGTGACCTCTTTCCTTTTCATAATGTGGAGCAGTTCTCAGTTGCTACCTAAAACAAATTGCTGACCAACAGAGGAGCAACCCCTGCAATAGGGAAATCCACTTCCAGCCCCCTTCCTGCACTGAACACACACAGTGCTTTAATTCAAAAATTTAGCAGAACACTAAATTCCTAAGCATGAACCATGAAATAAATAATCACACCCCTGGCGAAGAACCATCTGATAAACATTTTTCTCTGCACACAAATAAAGTGGGCATTATCCTTCTCAAGAAATGGCTTAAAATGCTGCTGCATTTAACTTTTGAAAGCCTACAGGATGTCAAGAAGGAGGCATCTTGAAATCTTTAATTCAGGGGCCTATAATTTCATCCCCAAATCAGCAGATTCCATGCATCCACACACAGAGAAACATCCAATTTGGAGCACTCATTCACTTTTTAGCAAGCCAACATTTTCAATGCCATGCATACACACACATGCACACAGAGTCTCTCTTTTTTTCTACCCTCTCCCCACCCAGGGGACCATACATTAAAATAGCTGCTAATTAATTATGGTAACCTCTGGCCCCTGCATTCCACAGAAAACCAGCAAGGAGGATTCAGGTTTTAAAGCAGCCCGCATTTAACAAAGGGGGGGGAGGATATGTGATTTTGATTCTATTCTCTTCCCCCCCTTTTTTTTGACAGATTTTCTAAAAAGAGATGTATGAACTTAAAACACCATGCGCTCCCCCACCATCTTCGCACGCTCCCCCCTCCATTCCTTTCAACCCTTTACAATCCCCCTCGCGCTCACCGCCCTGGATCGGAGGTATTTTGATTGGCACAATTTATGCTTCAATTCTGGCGGACACCCCCCACCCAGCAACCCAGACCTGCAGGCTCTCTCCTAAGAGAGAGAGAGCGAGAGAAAGCAAAGCCATTCCTAGCCATCATCTGCCCCCACAAACACGCGCGCGCGCGCATCCCTGCAGCTTATTTGGCCTCCTCTCCGTATTAAAAAAAGAGAGCCGAGGTGGGGGGCCCTCCCTCGAAGGATTGCAGTGCTCGGGCTGCCTGCATCAGCGCTCCCCTCCCCTCCTTCCTGGTCTGATGCAGCTGCAGCGCCAAGCAAGCCTTAGAGAAGAGCCGCCGCTGTCCCCGCCGGATTCGCACAAAAGGGTCTACCCACCCTGAGTAGGCGACGCCTTGATACGAGAATGGGGAAGCGGGGGGGAAGCTTACCTTGGAGCGAAGGAGGCGGAGAGGCCTGCCCGGGCAGGGGCTGCTCCACAGCAGGCGTGAGAGCGAGTCTGTGGTGGCGGCGGCGGCGGCTACTGCTGCTGCGGCACTCAGGACTGCCGCCGCTTCTCCATGAGCCCGGCGCTCCAGCGCGTGCAGGTGGACGCGCCTTCCTCTCCTGCTGCCTCTGCTGGTGCCTCTGCTGCTGCCGCCGCCGCCGCCACCTACTCCTCCTCTGGGAGGAGAAAAGGATGGAGATGGAGATGATGGAGCCGCCGGCGCGGCTCGTGCGGCACGAGGGTCCCCGCAGTTGTGCCAGCCGGCGCCCGCAAGCTTCGGCCCCGCGCAGCTCCCGCCGGCCGGGCAGGAAGGGGGGCGCGCCTGCTCCTCCTGCCGCTACTACTACTGCCGCCGCCGCCGCCGCTGCCTCCTCCTCCTCCTCGCCGCCGCCGCCTTCCTCCTCCTCCGCGGCTGCTGGGGCTTCCTCGCCTCCTCCGCCTCCCCCACCCGGGTTGCTTTTGCCCATTCAGAAGGTGCCTAATGCGCCGCCGCCGCTGCCATTGTTGCCTCAGCCGCGCCGCTCTCCGTCTCGCTCTCACGGGCAGATGAGGCTTCCCTTCGCCCGCTAGGCAGGCAGAGCCGGCGCTCGCTTTTCTGCCTCTCCCTCTCTCCCCACACCCCCTTAATACTATGAAGTCTCTCTCCTCTCTTCACTCGCAGTCTTTCCTCCTCCTCCTCCTCCTCCTCCTCCACCCCACTGAAAAGCGGCGCGCGCAACGACGCGCGGCCACCTGGCATATAAAGGGCGCGCAACCCCCGGCGCTCTGGAGGCGCGCTTGGAGGAGGCTGCGGCGCAGGCAGCGGTAGCTGCACAACCGAGCGCGCGCCAGCGGCGACCCTGCGCTACCTGCTCTCCGCCGCCGCTCCCGTTTCCCGCGAGCTGCATCGCCGCCGCCACAGGGTATTGATCACAGAGGAGAGCAGAAAGTTCTGAAATTGGAGGGGCCGCTCCTAGGAATGGCCCTTTTCCTCAAAGCCGCTCGAAGCGACGGCAGCGTAAGGCGACGGCAGCAACTACGGCGGCTCTTTCGTCTCCAAGCGCATCTCCTGCCTTACCTCGTATTTATATTAAAATGGGTTTAGGAAGCTATCTCGCTCGTGCCAAGTTAGGACACTCGTTCATCTAGATCAGCGTTACCTGCGCTAACTGCAGAGCCTGTGTGGTACAGTGGTTAGAGTGCTGGATTATGATCTGAGGGGCCGGGGTTCAATCCCCACACGGACATGAAGGTCACTGGGTGACCTTGGGCCAGTCACTCGCTCCCTGTCTAACCTACCTCGCAGGGTTCTTGTGAGGATAAAATTTGGGGAGAGGAGGACCAAGTACATCTCCACCAGCAAGGTGGTATTTCTATAAATAAGGTAAATAAATAAGTGGAAGAAGCTCACCAGGGAGGTGGGGCAGGGAAATGAAACTAGGACCTTCTGCTTACAAAGCAAATGATATACTCTTTGCCACATACATTAGAGCCAGTTTTATGTATCTTTTCTGTCTTTAGACTACAAAAAAAAAAATCTTCATACACGTACTTCATGCTCAGGTGCCACAAGACTCAACACTAGCATGACTACCCTTTGGAACTTTTGCAATACCTAACCTATCCTTATGACAAGCCTATAAAGGAGATCAGTGCAGTCTCCACGTTGCTCCTAAAGTTGGAGGTATGAGAGAGGAGCCAAGCATTTTAAAGCTCCGCTTACTGAGATTTGAATAAGGGACTTTTCTGATTTACAGGCTAAAGGAAGATACTATCCATGAAGTCAGACCAGTGACCCTTCTAGCCCAGCACTGTCTTTACAACCTTCCCCAAGCTGGTGCCCTTCAAATGTTTTGGGCCACAACTCTCATCAGCTCCACCCAGAGCATCACAGGACACCAGGTTGGGAATGATCCACATTCATGTGTGTATGTATTTTATGTATTTTATTGTGGCTATATCCCACCTTTTCCTCCAAGAAGCTCAAGGTGGCATACACAGTCTCCCCTTCCTCATTTAATTCTCATAACAACCCTGTGAAGTAGGTTAAGCAGAGAGGCAGTGACTGTCACAAGGTCACCCAGTGAGTTTTATGGCCAAGTGGAGATTTGAACCCTGGTCTCTCAGGTCTTGATCAGCACACTAACTACTACACCATATTCTTCTCCAGACATACCAGGAGAGGTCAGGGATTGAACCTGGGGGCTCTTCTGCATGCCAGACTGCTGTAAAGTAGAGGTAGCTACCATGCAGATGTTGTGGCCAAAACTCCCATTCCCCGACCCCCCATCCATTGGTTGGGGCTGATAGTTTTAGTCCACAACATCTGGAGGGCACCAAGTTGTTATCTTTGTCCCCCTAGACTTGTATACCATTTTGATCTGGTAACAGTATTTGAACTTTACCTGTGTGGCAGAAGGCAATTTACCATTTTAAAAACCTATAGATCAACAAAATTAATTTTAAAAATCACTAAAATCTGGTAAAGTCATAATAAAAAAAGAACACTTCCGTTTGAAAGGAGGAAATAAAGTAGATTGGGTTGAGCTGCTCTATAGTACATATGAAGCTGTGTCCACCCAATGTATAATTAAGCAAAAGGCTTGTTCCTTTACCTGATACAGCACTAATATCTTCTTAACGCATATTGCTGTGGCATCATAATAATGGCAGTATGTGCAGAATCCACACCTCTCATTCAAAACAGGGATTGTAGTCCCATACCTGCTTTCCACTGCCAAATTGCAGATTTTAGAATCTCAAAATAAAGAGAACGCTACAAACATGCACAGAGTGCCCCTTGTATCCGGGCCCTTTCCAAATAATGAGGAAAGGGAGAAACTGCTGGATAGGATGGCAGAATTTAATCTGTATAACTGATACTTCAGTCAGCTAAACCTCTGAGTAATTAATGAATGGAGGCAAATTTAAATCATGGCAGGGAACTCTACAAACTGAAGGCATGCTTCACAAGTAACAACCCGTGTTATAAGATACATATATGATATACCTATTGCATAATATCAATAAATTCTAGTGGAAGCAGAATTTTAGGTGGTTTGTTTCATTATTCTTCATCTGATATGTTGGGACTCACTACCAGGCCACTACTGTCTCATCCAAGTTGGATCACAATAACAGCATAAAGCTTAGAATTAGGCAGCACAAAATAACTTCCCCCAAGACAGCCATAGAAACATGATAGGAGCAGAATAAAATAGCACCACCACTTAGAGTCAGCAGCCCATTAAAGCAGCAGGACGCATGTGCACTCAGAGTCCACTTGAACATTTATGGGCAAAGGCTTGCCTAATCTTGCTTCGAAGTATTACCCTGGTGGCGGGACACTAGCATCTTCTCCCTGAAGGCCTCTTCCAAAGATTCTTTTGCCTCCCTCAGCTTCTCAGGTTCAGCTGCCTTGGACTCAAGGGACTGAATTTGTTCCATGGTATCCACCAAACAACAATTGTCCAGCAGTCATAAGGTGTGATAGGCCCCACAACCCTTTGTTTTTGTAACTTCATTGGGTTTAGGATATAACTCAGTAACATGTAATATAAATAAAATAATTAAATAGGTTCCTTCAGATATTAATAGATGGGAGTCAGTACACCTTGCCCTTTGGGGAGGGGTGAAATCTCCCAAAATGAATATTATTCCCAAATTAATCTATATTCTGAGGGGAATTCCAGTTCAAATATCTGGACAATATTTCCAAAAAATAAACTATTTGACTCCAAAAATATCTTTACAAAAAATGCAACTACGAATTAATGAAGGAGGATTCAGTATTATGAATCTGGAGCTTTTAGAATGTGTGTGTGAATATGTGTATGTGTATGTGTATATGTCCTCTGGTTGGATGGACAGTATTAGGATCAAATATATTAGAACTTGGGAGCCTCTCAAAACATTTTTTTCCAGAAAGATATGGAATATAATGTCCAATAAAGAATAATTTCAATCAAATTCTCTATGCTAAATTTACTTCATGAAGAAACCCAACTTCAGAAATTGGAAAAATATGGTAACATGGAAAAATTGGATGGAAACTGGCATACTGACTTTGAATCAACTGATAGAGGAAGATTAATTTTACACGTATGCTGTTTTAAGCAATCAATACCATCTATCAGATGTAACCCAATGGCAATATTTGCAGCTGCGACACTTGTTAACAACTTTGTTTGGACTGACAGCTTTTACAGCTTCTGGAATACCAGAGATATTAGAACAATTGATCAGATCCTTTGAAACAAAAAGGCTATTTATTTTTTTGGCTATTTGATATCAATAAATCAATCCAATATGAAGATTTTAAGAAATGGGTGGAACAAAAAATTGGAGGTTCATATATTACCTAACTAAGGAAAGTGTTTTAGCTTCCATAGTAAATGTGACTATGGATCTTAAAGTATGACTTATACAACAGAAAATAATATTTAGAATTTACTGGCTATCATTACATTTATATAGATAAGGACTGTCTAAGACAGCATTCTGTTGGAGATGTTAAAAGGATAATGCTTCTTTGAAGCACATGTTTTTTACAATGTCCAATGCTTACTAAGTTTTGGGAGGAAGTATTGGATTGTATAAGCATGACTGCAGAAAACAGTTTAAATGTTCAGAGGAAAATATTATCTTGAATTATGTGCCTACTATACAGAATTTGACAACTAGACAACATAGATGGATTTTTTTGTGCCCTTACTGTGTCCAAAAGACTGATATTGATGCACTGGAAAGATAATTCTAAAGGGGGATTTGACTTAGCTGACCCCACCCAACCTGGAGACAGCAACTTTTATTGTGTGAGTCAATAATGAATACTGAGTAAGAAGAGGATCTGGGCAAACTGAATTCCTTTGATAATGCAAAGGTCTAACCCCCTGTGCACCTCCCTTCATATGCACTTTTCAGTGTGCAACATATTTAAAACTCAACTAAAAAAACTAAGTTTTAAAATAGAACTGAGTCTATATCTAAGCTTAAAAATTGCATATTAAGCCTAAAACTTTTGGCTTATAAGCTGGTTTCTCCCACTGGTTAGGTCTACGTTGTTGTCTTTGCCACATTAAAATGGAGTCATAGGATGAAAGTACATCTTCTACCCATTTCCAAAACTAGGTTCCTGGTTGAAGTAAATTTAGATAAGCCACTCAAACAGCACAAACAGAGCTGAAAACACTCAAGTTTTTTCAAGTAAGGAAAATAAATTAAATGCATAGGGCTTACTTTCTTTTCAAAAGGTGCTGAACTCACCTGTTTGCTGAACTGTTTGCCAAGAGAAATACTTCATGAATTTGGACTCCTCTCATGCTGGTAGAACTGTCTGGAAATCTAGGGGTGGGCACACCTGCCAATTTAGGTTTATCTCAGTATCTCATTTTTCCAATCTTAAACTGCAGTTTGCTGCAATTCCACCACTGCCCTGAAGGAACCCTCATGAAAATTTGTAGCGTCTATGACACAGATTTTTGCAAGCAATTCCACCCAATATATTTGATTTTTCTGTTATTCTTACTAATTCATGGCATTTTTATGCTCATTTTTTTTCTGGAGAACTGCATCACAAAATTCAGAGAAATGTGACTTTTTAAGGATAACAACTTTTCCGTTTGTGTATTGTTTGCATATGTTAGGGGAAAGTGTTCATTTAAAAAGCATGTATTAGTGAAAATGATATATGCAGAAATGCATTATATTAGTGAATATTACATACAAAAATTAGGAGAAATAAACACCAAGGGCTCATCCAGACTTGCGTTTTGCCCCACACTTTGCAGGCACAGGTCCTCACTGTAAAGTGTCATGTCTGAGTGCTCTTTTTTTTCCTCCCAGTGTTGTACTGCCCTATCAAAACAAACGACAATTCGATTTTTCATTGGATTGTTGTTTTTTTAAAAAAGAAAAATAATAGACTGGTGTGGAAACATGACAGAAATGGAAACTCAGATATAACATTAGAGTAGTGATGGGGTAAACAAGCTGTGGGAGTTAACTCTGATGTAAAAATAACAATGTATTATGTAAGATGAAATGAAATATGAACAAAACAGTCCTTCTAGAGGTATGGTCTCCATTGGTCTTATGACATCTGGAAAGTTCAGTATGGTTTTGATATGTTGTTAAGTTCTGATAAGTTTTTTCTTTCTTTCTATTAATGTGATCATAGTTGTTTCCTTTAAAAGTAACCCTCTGTTCTGAGACAAAGATGTATATTGTATCCATCTTTATTGTAATTGTTTGTAAATGGCTATAGCTAAAAGTATTGTAGAATTTAAAAGAATACCACAATTCACTATGGCCTGCACCACATTAAGAACACATCCCTTTAAGGCACCTTCAGAAGCCAAAATAGTGTGTGTGTGTGTGTGTGTGTGTGTGTGTGTGTGTGTGTGTTCACATCATTGAGTGATTTAGTGATGACCTCTTAGAAAGAAAAAATGTGGCTCAAATCTTTAGAACAACCTGTTAGGATCATTTCTAAATTAACTCTTAAGAGTGCTTCTATCATCTTACTATTCCTTCCTTTAGAGGCACATGTACACTGCAAGCTAGTCTCTATTTTATACCAATTTAACTGTCATGGCTTCCACAAGGAATCCTGGAAATCGTGTCAAATGGCTGAAGATTCTCCCTTAAAGGTAAAGGGACCCCTAACCATTAGGTCCAGTCATGGACGACTCTGGGGTTGCAGCTCTCATCTCACTTTATTGGCCGAGGGAGCCGGCGTACAGCTTCCGGGTTATGTGGCCAGCATGACTAAGCCGCTTTTGGTGAACCAGAGCAGCACATGGAAACACGGTTTACCTTCCTGCTGGAGCGGTACCTATTTATCTACTTGCACTTTGACGTGCTTTTGAACTGCTAGGTTGGCAGGAGCAGGGACTGAGCAATGGGAGCTCACCCCATGGCGGGGATTTGGACCGCCGGCCGTCTGATCGGCAAGCCCTAGGCTCTGTGGTTTAGACCACATCGCCACCCGCGTCCCATTAGAAATCCTTAATCCTGTAACATAGAGATGGGGAACCAACAACACCCCAGATGTTGTTGGCCTCCAACTCACATCAGCCCCAGCAGCATGGTCAGTGGCCAGGGATGATGGGAGTTGTAGTCCAATGACCTCTTGAGGTCTACAGATTCCAACACCCTGCCTGGAGATCCCAGGAATTGAAACAGGATCCTTTCGCCCGCAAAGCATGGGCTCTACCACTGAGCCATGGAGACTTCCCTTAAAGAAGTGGGAACTCCCTGACAGGACACCAAACCCTCAGTGTCCTACATGAGAGATGGAGATACTGTCCACAACACCTGTCTGTCACACAAGCAGGGAATGGATGCAACAGTCTTCCCTAAAGGAGGGATCTAATGCAATTCTAACGATTCAACGGACACTTGTACCATTTTGCTTGGGTTCTCACTTCACTATTTTTAACTGTTCCTGATCTGATCCTTTATCTTTTCGAAAATAACAGTTATTGATTTCTGAGCTGGCTGAAAACTCAATGAGCCAATAATTGCACATTGATGTATGCATCTTGCTATCAGGATTGCTATCTGTCTGCTTATGTGAGGATGAGGAGGTGATGGACTCATCAATCCTCAGTGCCTGTTCCTTGTCAGCTAACTAGCCTATTAACAGCTTATCTTGTCAAGCAAATGAGTGGCCTATGTCATTGACCCTTGGTTTGCATTTTGTGAAAACAACCACCACCAACTCCTCTTTGAGAAAAACACCTAAAGTATTCTGAGCTGAGCTCATGGTAGTTCTTGCTTGCAAATGGCAGTGCCTCCCAAAAGTTTGCAGGGCTTGGACTTGACACTGAAGTTAAAAGGAGGAGTTTGTGCAGCCAGGTCAGTTCATGGGCTACCTCACTGAAGCCTACACATTTTTTCCATGCCCCTTACCCCATCACCTCCAGAGCAACACAAACTTCCCTTTTATAAAGTGACCTGTAGAAATACACTGCAAATGGCAGGGAAAATTGTAATAGCCAGAAGCAAAATCCAAAAGTGATAAATATAATGACCTGTGGACATGCTGGTGTCCATCAGGGAAGTTTGCAAATAGCATTACATTTGCAAATGCAATTATCTCTGTGTGGGGTTTTGATTGATTGGCTGAATAAATTACTGCCCTCAGTGCTTTGTAAAGCACAGCAGGTTGGTCACCTGCCTCCCTCCAAGCCTAGGTGGAGAGGAGACATTGCTCTGGCACTACTCATCCTCCTATCAAACCCACCCTGTCCTCCCCACCACAACATGAACTGAAGTGGTGCAGACTGCACTGTATTTCTGCAAAATAACACTATGCATGGGCCAGAATTAAAGGGTGGTATAAAAAATGTACAGTGGTACCTTGGGTTAAGTACTTAATTCCTTCCAGAGGTCCGTACTTAACCTGAAACTGTTCTTAACCTGAAGCACCACTTTAGCTAATGGGGCCTCCTGCTGCTGCCGCGCCGCCGGAGCACAATTTCTGTTCTCATCCTGAAGCAAAGTTCTTAACCTGAAGTACTATTTCTGGATTAGCGGAGTCTGTAACCTGAAGCATATGTAACCTGAAGCGTATGTGACCTGAAGCGTATGTAACCCGAGGTACCACTGTAGTTCAATGCTGCCAGTAATTCTCCCTCCCCCAGTCACACATACTAAGCATGGGCACAGTGGATGCTTTGTGAATTTATCGCAGCCGGTTACTTTGTTGTGCTGAGCAGAAAGAGTGACTGCCACTGAAGGTGGAGGCTCCACTGGGTGCAATTATTTTTAGTGGTACTGTTGAAATTGTAATGAATTGCAGAAGGAGTGGCTTAAGTTAAAAGGGTGGTTTGTAATAATTAATATCCGCTGAATTTATACATAAAAATTATTGTACATGGAGCACAGTCCCCCAGAAATGGAAACTCTATTTTTTTTTAGGATGAACTGGTGGGAAATGGGTGGTGGTAAAATTAATTTTATTTGGGTTTCGACAGGGCAGGGGTAGAACAGTGATGGGGTTAGGGTGATGCTATGTTTTCCCCAAACCATTAAATGCACCACTTAGTTCTAGAATGGGACAGATGTCAGGGCACTGTGTATTTATGATTCTGCAACACACAACCCCCAGCATCCCAAAGAAACCCAGTTCAGAATATTCAAGGCATACCTTGCAGTGTGTGCTTATGATTTCTCCCCAAACCCAGTCACACACTTTCCCCCAGAAAAAAAATAACAAAAACGATGGAAGATTTATAATGAAAAGTTGTAAGCATAAACAGGGTGATTAGAAAGTTAACAGTTATAATGATATCATGTAATGATATTATTAGAAAAAAATAAATTCATCAGGCTTACATTTTAACACTCACAAAATACAAGCAAAGCCCATTTTTTTGTTTCATTAATAAATATCAGGTTCACATTAAGGTGTAAGACAATGGCTGCACTTTCCATGTGTGTGTTTGGCTAAGTCACAATGAGCAAAAGAAAAAGAGGGAGGTCAACAACAAAAAATTGAATGCTAATGGTAGTTAATAGCTAGTCTAATCAACTCAACAGTGAATCAATGAGGCAGAAGTTACAGTGAATACACATTTCAGCAGTTCCCAGTTAGCAGACACTTAAGATCAATTGTTGATTATGAGGGTAACTGACTAAATTTTATTGTAACAAATGTCATGTTTGGAAAAATCTACATCTACTTGCTGCAGAGTGGACAAGCAGACTCCTGGCCAGTTCATTAGCGAATTCCACTACCATCCCTAACTAATCCGAAGATATACAGTCTCTGCCTTCCTTTAGCTATCATGGCTAAATATTTTATTTGCTATTTATATCATAAAATACCAAGTTCCTACAAATGTGGAATTGGCATTATATGGCACCTGAAACAATGTTAGTCCTGCAGATCTAAGTGGTCAAGTGGGTATATGTGGAGTAAGGCCACTGATACACCACCAAATCCTTCATGAATTTGTCTAATAGTTTTGAAAGCCATCTAAGTTTGTGGCCATTGTCGTTCTGCAGGAAACAGCAAAGAGCTCAGCAGCATCACACGTTTCCAGAATTAAATCTAGATTTATTTATTTTTTAATAGTTTAAAAAATGATTTTAGAATGTACTTTAACAATTACAGTAGAGAGAACTCTTGCAGTAAATTCAGCTGTGGGGGTCTCTTGATACATTTAATTTGGACAAATAGGGTTCTGCAAATGAAAAGTCATTAGCCTACCTGCCCAAATCAGGAGGGACACCACATTCATGAGGATAGATTTGAAACTAAATTAGAGACCTCTTGAAAATCAGGAGCAGCAAATTGATGATACAATTATTATGATATTACTCGAAAGGAGTAGGTGGGAGGGAAGAGAAAAATCACTCACTGAAGAAATGAAAGACAGGCTTTACATCAACATAGGTAGCAAGGTCAACGCTTCATTTGTAGAAGTCAGCTAGTCTACTGCGCAAGTGAAATTAAAGGGCATGTTGTCAGATAGTTTACACTGGAAAATGTAAGGTTCATGGATAATTTTAAATGCAATAGTGGAGAGTTGCGTGCCATAATTTGAAAACATGTCCATTTTTCACAAAGAGAGCTAAAGACATTCACGTAAACCTGCAAATCCAAAAATATTATGCTACGTTAGCACTGTGAAGTGACTGAAGCTACATAGAAAAAGCTAAGCTGGCCTTCCTCACTGCACATTTACAGCTTCATGAAAAGGTAAATAAACTTTATAACTCATGGCAGGAAAGGATTTTCAGTTACAAAGAGTTAAGATAAGATTCTAGGGAATATACACACTGCAGAAACACTTTGTGATTTATTTACACATGAGATTTGTTTAGAAATCGTGTGTTATATATGACTAAACCATACTCAGAATAGACTCACTGAAATCAATGGGCTTAGTTTAGACTAACTTGTTACCGTATTTTTTGCTCTATAAGATGCACCAGACCACAAGACGCACCTAGTTTTTGGAGGAGGAAAACAAGAAAAAAATATTCTGAATCTCAGAAGCCAGAACAGCAAGAGGGATCGCTGCGCAGTGAAAGCAGCAATCCCTCTTGCTGTTCTGACTTCTGGGATAGCTGCGCAGCCTGCATTCGCTCCATAAGACGCACACACATTTCCCCTTACTTTTTAGGAGGGGAAAAGTGACTCTTATAGAGCAAAAAATACGGTAATGGATTTTAACGGGTCTTCTCTCAGTATGACTTACGGTCAAATACAACTCACATTCTTAAAAATCAGGAAAAGAAAGGCAACAATTTGCAAACAATTCATCTATTTAACAATAGTTATCTTTTATCCATTTTAATACTAACAATTTTAATTTTTTGTTCTTAGCGGAATATACATTTTCTTCCAAAAAAGACATGAAGAATTATAACAGTTTCCCAATTCTGCATAATTCTTTATCTTAGAATCATAGAATTGTAGAGTTAAAAGGGATCCAAAGAGTTATCTAGTCCAACCCCCTGCAATGTAAGAATCTCAACTAAAGCATCCATGACAGATCACCATCCAACTTATGTTTAAAAACCTCCAAGGAAGGAGAGTCCACCACCTCCTGAGACCATTCTGTTGTTGAACAGCTCTTACCATCAGAAAGTACTTCCTGATATTTAGTTGAAATCTCCTTTTTTGCAAAATGATCTTAACAGTTGGGCCCAAACTAACAAAATGAAATCCAATAGGAACAAATGGAAGGTTCTGCACTTAGGCAGGAAGAACCAGGCACACAAATATAAGATGGGGGGGGCACTAGTATTACTAGCACTACATGAGAAAAGCATCTAGGAGTCATGGTGGAGCACAAGCTTAACATGAGTCAACAGTGTGATGCAGCAGCAAAAAAAGCCAATGCTATTCTAGGCTGCATCAACAGAAGTATAGTTCCCAGAACAAGGGAAGTAATAGTACCACTCTGTTCTGCCTTGTTCAGACCACACCTGGAATACTGTGTGTGGTTCTGTGTGCTACAGTTTAAAAAGGATCTTGACAAGCTGGAATGTGTACAGAGGGAGGCAACCAAGATGTTCAATGGTCTGGAAACCACGCGTTATGAGGAACGGTTGAAGGAGCTGGGTATGTTTAGCCTGGAAAGGAGAAGACTGAGAGGAGATATGATGATGAGGATGATGACAACAATAATTTATTGATTATATGCTGCCCATCTGGGTTGGCCCAGCCACTCTGAGCAGCTCTCAGCAAAAAATAGTAAAAACACAAGGCAGCATCAA